CCAGGTGTGGTGGCACTTGCCTGTAGTCCCAGCTACTCGGGAGACTGAGGCAGGAGAATGGCTTGAACCCGGGAGGCAGAGGTTGCAGTGAGCTGAGATCATGCCACTGCATTCTAGGCTGGAGACACAGGGAGACTCTGAAAAAAACAAAAACAAAAACAAAAACAAAAACAAAAACAAAAAAAAAACCACCATATTAATAGAAGTGAAGCTATCCATTCATTAAAAATATATATTTATTAAGAGCCTAATCTCTGTCAAGAGAAGGATGGACCTCAGGAGCCAAAAGAAGAAAGCATTTCAAGGAAGGAGGGGTTAACAGGGTCAAATGCCACAGAGAGGGAAAAGGGTAAAGACTGAAGAGTTGTTCATTGAATGTGACCAGGTGGTCACTGGTGGCCTTGACGAGGGCAGTCTCAGTGGACTGATGGGAGCAAAAACTAAAACGATTGAGAATGAGAGTCGTGAAAATGAATATAGCGAGTGTAGGTAACTTTAGACGCTTAGTTGTGAAGGGAAGAGAGAAATTGAGTGACGACTAAGCGAAGACAAGGATCAAGGGAAAGTTTGGAACGTTTTTCATGGGAAACATTTTTAATCATGGGAAAATTACTTGAGCATGTGTATATGCTAAGGGGAAAATATCAGTAGAAAAGGACAGGTTACGGCTGGGATGACGGCTCACACCTGTAATCTCAGCACTTTGGGAGGCCGAGGTAAGAGGATCATTTGAGCCTAGGAGTTCAAGACCAGCCCGGGCAATGAGCCCCCGTCTCTATTTTTTTTTTTTTTTTTTTTTTTTTGAGACGGAGTCTTGCTCTGTTGCCAGGCTGGAGTGCAATGGCGCAACCTCGGCTCACTGCAGCCTCTGCCTCCTGGGTTCAAGTGATTCTTCCACCTCAGCCTCCCAAGTAGCTGGGACCACAAGAGTGTGCCACCATGCCCCACTAATTTTTGTATTTTTTTTTGTTGTTGTTTCTTTTTTTTTTTTAAAGATGGGGTTTCACCATATTGGTCAGACTGGTCTCAAACTCCTGACCTCAGGTGATCTGCCCGTCTCAGCCTCCCAAAGTGCTAGGATTACAGGCATGAGCCACCGTGCCTGGCTAATTTTTGTATTTTTAGTAGAGACGGGGTTTCACCATGTTGGCCAGGATAGTCTTGATCTCCTGACCTCGTGATCTGCCTGCCTCGGCCTCCCAAAGTGCTGGGATTACAGACGTGAGCCACCGTGCCCCGCCTTTTTTTTTTTTTTTTTTTAAATTAATACCTTTTGTGAGCAGGCACTATGCTACAAGGAAAGATACACTGTTGAGCAAGAGAGACACCCAGGTCCTGACTGCATAGGGCTTATCGTAGAGTCATAGGTAAACCTTGGCCAGGTGATATGATGACATTGAGAGACATGATGATGCAGCTAAGTATATCTGTAGGGAGCGAAAGGTTGACAGAATTCTCACTTTATTATCTCTATTTTCTGTGAAGATGGAGGATGGTTTTCCTGAGACAAACAAGGAAATGGTAAGAAAAGGAACTTGCAAAAAAAGGAGGAAGTTTGAAATAGCTCCTGGGGATTGGAAGAGAGTGCTTATCCAACCCAATCTGTGGGACTGTGTGATTTTCTTCAGAACACTTAGGGAGAAGGAAGAGAGAGTCTTTTCTTTTTTTTGAAATGGAGTCTCACTCTGTCACCCAGGCTGGAGTGCAGTGGTGTGATCTCAGCTCACTGCAACCTCCCATCTCCCGGGTTCAAGCAATTCCCCCAGTAGCTAGATTCCCCCACCACCACGCCCAGCTAATTTGTGTGTGTGTGTGTGTGTGTGTATTTTTAGTAGAGATGGGGTTTTGACACATTGACCAGGCTGGTCACGAATTCCTGACCTCAGGTGATCTGCCCACCTCTGCCTCCCAAAGTGTTGGGATTACAGGCATGAGCCACCTCGCCCAGCCAAAAGAGTCATTTTGATTTGTCTTTTGAAATAGCTCTCAGATTCATTTGTTTCTTTCTGTTCCCATCACCCTTATCTGATTGTCCCTCTCCACTCACCTTTAGACCTCCCTATTTTCTTGCTAGTAGGTCTCTATCTTCTTGGAAAAAAAAAAGCACCAGGTGAGGTGATTCCCGCCTGTAATCCCAGCACTTTGGGAGGCCCAGGCAGGGCGGATCACCTGAGGTCAGGAGTTTGAAACAAGCCTGACTAACACGGAGAAACACCATCTCTACAAAAAATAAAAAAATTAGCTGGGTGTGGTGGTGCACGCCTGTACTCCCAGCTACTTGAGAGGCTGACATAGGAGAATCACTTGCACCCGGGAGACAGGTTGTAGTGAGCCGAGATCTTGCCATTGCACTCCAGCCTGGGCAAAAAAAAATAAAATTCTGTCAAAAAAAAAAAAAAAAAAAAAGAAAGAAGAAGAAAAAGACAAGTTGCACCGTTTTTCAAGAATTTAAAATGACATCCTGCTCCTGTCAGATGATTTTAACTGGCTCACCCTAGGTGTTCCAGGTCTTCCGTCATTTGTCTTCCCCCTTTCCCTTCCCTTGCTCCTAACTAGTGCCTTTCCCACGTACCAGCCTCACAGGACATTTTGTTATCCATGCCGCAGGCTCCTTCCTCACCAAGTAAAAGCTTTTGCTGAAGCTGTGTCCTTCGGGAACATTTTCTTTTGTACCAAGCCAACTCCCACCAAAGTTTTGCTCTCCTACATGATAAAATGTATCCAACATCTTTCTGTGCAGTCTTCTGGAAAATATTTATCTTCTTTGCACATTTGGAAATCTATGTTCAATGTAGCTTTTTTTTTTTTTTTTTGAGACTTGGTGTTGCTTTTTAATAGTTTAGTACTTATAAATCTTAAATTTTAATTCAAATATATTATCACTTTCTTAAAGACACACAGTGGATTGTGTAGTAGCTTGTGTCTACACAATCTACCACACAAAGTAATAGAAAGTAAGTGTTTAATACTCATTGGATTGAACTGGGATTTGAGCTGGGCCCTAGAACTTTAAATGAATTACACCTTAATCCCCATTCACTAATCTATTCAATAACCATGTATCTGAGTACCTAAACCCTGTGCTAGGAATGGGGGAGACTTCTTTTAACCTCTCAGTGCCTCTGTATTTTGAGGTGTCTTTCTCTCAAAATCTCTTGCTGAATTGCCTTAGACCCAAGATTCCTTGGCAGTTCATCCTGTGTAGATATTGCCCGTTTATCTTCCTCTTTTTTATAAGATCTGACTTTACTGAGTTACTGTTCATCTTACTAGCTCACCTGGCCTTAAATCTCTGTCTCTCTCTCTCTCTCTCTCTCTCTCTCTCTCTCTCTCTCTCTCTCTCGTTTGTGTGTGTGTGTGTGTGTGTGTGTGTGTGTGCATGTGCGTGTGTGTGTTTAAGTCTCCCGAGTACTCACTGTAGGGCTTAGCCTAGTCGTCGATGCTACCCTCCCTGATCGCAGTCCAGTTAAGGCTGGCCTAAAGTGGCAAATCCCTTCCCCCTCCTTTCCTCTAGTCCAGAGTCCAAGATGTGGGTAGAAGTGTTCGGTCAGATAAAACTATTTGAGATGCCGGGCGCGGTGGCTCAAGCCTGTAATCCCAGCACTTTGGGAGGCCGAGGCGGGTGGATCACGAGGTCAAGAGATCGAGACCATCCTGGTCAACACGGTGAAACCCCGTCTCTACTGAAAATACAAAAAATTAGCTGCGCATGGTGGCGCGTGCCTGTAATCCCAGCTACTCAGGAGGCTGAGGCAGGAGAATTGCCTGAACCCAGGAGGCGGAGGTTGTGGTGAGCCGAGATCGTGCCATTGCACTCCAGCCTGGGAAACAAGAGCGAAACTCCGTCTCAAAAAAAAAAAAACAAACAAAAAAAAACTATCTGAGAATGCCAGTGTCTCCCAAGCCACCCACTTTCCTGGGGAATTTTGAGAATGTCTTTTGTCCCAGCCCCACATAGAGAAGAATCCTACCAGGCAATACCAAGGTACCAAGCAGAACTGTCTGTAGTAGCCTTATTCTTCCTGCTCACTGACATGCCCAGGGGCTTTATGAAGGGTGGGGAGGGAGAAGGGACAGTGTTGCTGTTTGGAGGGATGTCAGGGTCCTCTGAGGAAAGACGGGACATGTGTCTGTGGGGCAGGAAGGCTGTGTGGGTTACTTTCGCTCATGTCTTGGCATTGCTACTCTTTCTGTGTCTTTCTCTGAGTCAATTAGTCTTGGTTTTCACATCTGTTTTGGCTTCAGCCTCTCTCACCTGTCCTCTTCCATTACCCGACAGGCTGACTGTTAGCTAGTTCCTGCCACAGTGGCCCAAACCCTTGCTGCTTTGTAGAGGTGGGAAGGAAGGAGATCCTGGAAACAAGGGAAGCCTCCTGCTGACACCCTCCTTTCCTTTCCCAGGCCTCCAGCCCCCACGCTCATGCTAGGCCTCCTTATTGGGGTCAGGACGAACCAGAGGAGGCCTACGGGGAGAAATAAGGAGACAGAAGGGAAAAGCATAGAGAGGAGCAACGGAGCGATAGGGGCAGAGTCGGGGAGAGGCAGGAGGCTCCCTCGGGAGCCGGGTCGCCGGAGCCGTAGAGGAGGGTAAGAGAGGACGGATCGCGCAGGCTCTGACAGCCCATCCCAGCCCTGCCGAGGCTCCCAGGTTTCTTCTCTTTCTCCTCCCAGCTCCCTTCCCTCTCTTATGAAATTTCTCCCCAGGGGCCTCTCCACTGTCAGCCGGTCCCTGCTTGTGTGTGTATCCCTTCCTCTGCCCAGTGTCAGCGACAGTTCGTGGGTCTCTCCATCTCAGCCTCCCGGCCAGGCCCTCCGGGTGGACGGTGCTCCGGGCGCCCCTCCCCGGGCGGCACTATTGGCGGAGAGGTGACGAGAAGGCGGTGTCTGGCCGCCCTCCGAGGGCGGGATTAGTCGCGGCCACCCAAAGGCGGGCAGGAGGTGGGTCCGGCGGGGCGGCGGGCGGGGCCGCTGGGGCCGAGCCCAGAGCCCCGGGCGGTCGCATTGTTTTCCTCCGCGCTCCGCGGCTGGACTCGGACCCAGGGCTCTCCCGACAGCGCCCCGGACGCCAGATTCGAGCACCATCCGATTCGGACGCTCATCGCAGCTGGCCGGAGCCCAACCACGGATTGCGAACTCAGCGCGGCGCGTGTCCGAGGGCCGTCCGCGGCGATCTCGATCCCGCTGACCCGGATCCCCGAGCAAGTACCCCGGGCAGGGAAGGGACTGCGGGGAGGCGGGGAGGGCGCGGCCAGCGGGGGGCAAGCTTCTGAAGCGCTAGGGGACCAGGGAGGGTGTTGGCGCCCCATGTGCCTGGCTGACGGAAAGGGTCAACGAAGTTGGGGTGCAGGGAGGAAAGAGGGACCGTGGCCGAGCCCCGTAACTGTACTGGTGGGAGGAGAGTCTGGGCACCTCATTCAACTGGGCTTTCTTCGAGTCGCATCCTGCAGGATTGGGAAGCGCGAAAACGATCATTTGAGGCGCGCACCGTAGAGAGGGTGGAAAACCTGGTCCCTTGCTTTCCCGGCAGGGAAACTAAGGCTCTGAGACCCTCCTGACGCCCCCGAAGGGATGGGAAGAGGGGCGCACCATTCCGGACTTCGTGTCACGGGTGCACCTCTGTCCTTGTGCAAGCCGGAGACTGAGCACCCTTTGATGGGTTGGCTGATGCACGCAGGCGGCGAATGGGGCCCCCGAGCAACCTCGGTCCCAGCGCCCATCACCGTCCTTCAGCCCGCTCGGCCCGGGGCTTTGTTAGACTGAGGTCTCCCAAGGACGACATCCGAGCTGGCGACTGCCTCCTGAGCCCACAGACCCCACTCAGCGCCGGCCTCAGGCTCGCCCTGGTCGGTTCTCAGCCTCTGGCCCTGTTTCCCTGGCCTGGGAGACCCGCCTCCGCTCCCCAACCCCCGCTCCCATCCCCTGTCTGTCTGCGCCTGCAGGCCCCTCCAGCCCCTCCTCCCGCTAACGTGGCTCTGGGACCCGGTCCCGGCCCAGACTCTGCTACCGGCCCCTCCTCGGAGCCCCGGATCCAGTGAGGGGGAGACACGTCGAGCCCCTGGCCTTAGGCCCACCTCTTTCCAGGCTCGAGACACCTGGATTGTCCTGGTTGGGGGTTGGGTGGGAAGGAGGGTAGGTGCTGAGCTGGGGCTGAGAGCCAAGGGTGGGGGAAATGCCTTGGAGAAAGGAAGGCTCCAGTTCCACAAGGCCCCTTGGCGTGACCCTGCTCCCTCTGATGACAGTGTACTGGGGCCGGCCACCAGCCCGAAGGCTTCCTGCTATTGTCCCTAGCCCAGTCTCCCCTTCTCCATCCCTTCCCCAGCTCTGCTAGACTCTGGCTATGACCCTAGCCACCTCCCAGAGGTGGCTTCAGGGCCAGGAGAGAGAAGGGCTGTTTCCTCTTCCCATCAAGGGGGGGGATCTGGAAAGGGGAGAAAGAGTCAGCCAGGTCTCTCCCGTGTGCTTCAGATGGGGGGTGTGAAGCAGCTAGGATTCTTCCAGGGCAAAGTGATCTTTTCTCCAGCCCAGGAGTTGAGGAGCTGCCCAGATGCTGCTACCCAAAAACAGCTACAAGAAGCCCTCTTAAAGATGTATCATAGAGGGCCAATGCAAAGGCCAGTCAAGTGTTTTTAGAGGCTGGACTAATCCACCCTAAAGTGGTGTGTGTGTGTGTGTGTGTAGACTGGGTGGGAGGGAGGCAGAGTCTGCCCTCTCAGGGAGGAAGGAAGGACTGAGGGTGCTTGCTATCAGATCAGAGCATTTTGCCTGGAAATGAAGAGCATGTAAATGAGATGCAAATTAGCCTCTATTGTCCCTAGCTAAGGCGCTTTCACTAAGAAGGCTGTTGGATTCTGAGGGCTTTAACATGGGAGTGGTCGTCATGCCCCACAAACTCTCCTAGTGACCCCCTTTGCCAAGGCTGGCCCTGTAGTTCTAGGAGTTTCTAGCAAGGGGCCATCCCCTTGCCCTGCCCCTACATCTCTGGGTGTGAAGCCACCAGCACCTTTGTAACCAAACTATTAATAAGTGTCATCAGTCTCCTCCCATTTTCAAGGCATCTCCCCTACCCAAGCCTCAGCAGACTTTTCTTGAATTTTTACATTTACTTTTAAGGGATGTGGAAGGGGAGTGTAACTCAATCTCTTTCCTCCTTTGTCCTGTCTTCCATCAGGTCAGAGGTTTCCTATCCCCCTCACGCCCCCACAGGAGTCACCACCCCAGGTAAGGACAGCAGCTCCTGAGAGCAGGGGGTGGAAGCAGGCATGAGCAGGGAGCAGGAAGAGGGGCTGGCTCTTCTCCCCACTTGCCAGAGACCAAAGTTGTTTCCAGGGTGAAGATACTAGTTGCTCAGGGCAACTTGGAGGCAGGGGGGTGGTGGGGAGAGCAGGTTGGGGAGGATAAGAGACAAGCTATGTCCCTTTCTCTTCCTTTCTCTTCCCCTGGGAACAGCGTAACCGGAAGCACATTGGGGGAGGAGGAAGGCTCAGCCTTTCAACACCAGAGGGTAGTTAGCTGGCTGCTACTCTGCCCCTGGGGAAGGGGGGTCATCATTAGGTGTTCCTCTCTTCCCTCCTCCAACTCTCTGGTGACCCCACTTGACGTCAGCCTCCCCACCAGTGATGACGGATTGGGGGTGGGGGGACACTTGGGTCCTGGCTTCAAGAGTGGAATTACTGGGGAGATGGAAGGGGGCTTGGCCTGGAAGCTCAGGGTCGGTTTTAGGGGACACGGTGGGATGGGCAACTAAGGATTGGTGGATAGTGACCTGTTCACAAAAGAAAGGATTCTCGACCTCCCAGACCTGATTTTTGGCACCGACTGAGAGCCTCACTTCAATTTTAGGGGAAGGAAGGAAGCTGGTATGTACCTCCTACTGTGGGCCCAGCCAGGGTCATCTGGCAGATGGAGGCTGTTGGGCGGAAGGAGACCTGTCTCACCATCTCTTCCACCATATCCATCTTTTTCTGGACTTTGGGCTACAACTGCCTGCCTGTCACTGAATTATTTATATTTCAATTTCAGAGGCACCAGATGAGGGAAGGAAGGGAAAGAGGGGCACGTTTAGCCATGTTGCTTCACCAATCCCTTCTATCCCTGGCTTCTCATAGTGGGTGGGTCTGCTCTTCCCCTCTCAAGTATATGCACCGGTTCTTAGGAGCCAGGGAGGGAGCAGGGGGCTAGAGAGCCTGGAGGGGGTGGCACAGTGGTCGGGCAGACAGCTGCAGCTAAATTTAGCCTCTGATCTGGCTTTGATGCAGATTCATTTTTGGTGAAGACAGTCCCCCCACCCCAACTCCCCTCCCTACTCAGCTTCTTCCCTAGCAGTGGGAAGGGCCCCTGAAGCATGAGCTTAGACCAGACAGAGACCTCTAGGCTGCCTACCCCAACTCTGTCTTCCTCAACTCTAGAAAGGACAGTGGCAGCCACACAACTGCTCCGCCTGGGCACAGTGCCTGCATTGCTCCCAGGGTGCTGTGGGGGTCTGGGAGGGAGGGGGAGTCAGACATGGTGCCCTCTTCCTCCCTCCAGTGCCAAGGAGTCACTATTTATAATTTTAAGGCTTCAGTCTCTAATTATAGTTGAGAAGGGGTTAGCAAGAGGGGGGCCAGGAGGTGTCACCTACTGAATGTCCCAGACCCAGTCAGGAGAGGGGAGGAAAAGCCGAGTGAGAAGGCTGACAGCAGGAGGGGGTGTGTCCTGTCCTTACCTGGGGTCATGCTTGCAGGCCTCACACCAGCCAGTGTGGGCCAGTTGGAGAGGGAAGGGCCTTGAGTGACAATGACAGCTGGCTGGGACTGGGGCAGTGCCGAGGAGAGGGTTCTTTCCCCCACCCCACAGGGTCTTCTGGGGATAGATCAGGAGAGGAGCCTGCTGGCTTGCATCAGGGGAGAGGGAACTTGGCTCCTCCCCCACTTTTCCCTGTCTCCCCTTTCAGGGCCAGCATATGGGTGAGGGGGCACCCCCTGGGGCCTGAGCTGCCCCGCACAGGATGCCCCGTGCCCCCCACTTCATGCCCTTGCTGCTACTGCTGCTGCTGCTCTCGCTTCCCCATACCCAGGCCGCCTTTCCCCAGGACCCCCTCCCTCTGTTGATCTCTGACCTTCAAGGTGAGTGCCCAGTACCTACCTTGCCCCATCTCTGTGAGCAGTTAGAGACTGAGACCCCCTGTGTGGGAGGCAAGGTGCAGGAAGGCACCCAGCCTCAAGGAAGCTAACAGCCAGACCAGCAAAAGGAAGCAAACAGGCAGAGTGAGCTGACACCTCCCGCCAGCTGTTTCTCATCCCTGGGCTTGGTTTCTTCACTGAGAGGCAGCATCATGCGGAGGTTAACGTGGACTCTCAGCTAGACCAAACCTTAGCAGGTTTGAATCCCTGCTCAGCTACTCACCAGCTGTGTGACCTTGGTTCCGTTACTTAACCTTTCTTTGCCTCCGTCTCCTCAGCTGTAAAATGAATATAACAGCGAGTGAGCTGGTGGTGGGTACTCAGGAGGCTGAGGCAGGAAGATCACTTGAGCCCAGGGGTTGGAGGCTGTAGTGCTCGTGATGGCACCTGTGAATAGCCATTGTAGTCCAGCCTGGGCAGCACAGCCAGAGTCCTCCCACCCCCAACCCCTTACCCCATCTCTTAAAAAAAAGGAAGATTAAAAAAAAAGAAAAAAAAGAAAAAGGGAGATTAAAAAAAAGGTCTCCGGTGCAGTGGCTCACGCCTATAATCCCAGCATTTTGGGAGGCTGAGGCGGGCGGATCACCTGAGGTCAGGAGTTTGAGACCAGCCTGACCAATATGGTGAAACCCCATCTTAAAAAAAGAAGTCTTCTACCTCATAGAGTTATTTAGGGATTAAATGAGGTTATACATGTAAAGTGCTGAGAACACTGTATGGCACAAAGTAAATCCTTTATATATGTTTGCTGTTATTCTTAGCTACAAAGAGAAGACCTAATACTAGTTCAGTGATTCCCAGCACCTCTTACCTCCCTCTCCACCACTGGTACCAGCAATAAATCCACCATGATAGAAAGCATGAACCCACTTTTTCTGAGAAGAACCTTTATCTATTTGCAGGCTGGAGTGCAGTGGCATGATCTCAGCTCACTACAACCTCTGCCTTCTGGGTTCAAGCGATTCTCCTGCCTCAGCCTCCCGAGTAGCTGGGATAACAGGCACTCGCCACCAAGCCTGGCTAATTTTTGTAGTTTTAGTAGAGACAGGGTTTCACTGTGTTGGCCAGGCTGGGCTTGAACTCCTGACCTTATGATCCACCTCCCGAAGTGCTGGGGTTACAGGCATGAGCCACTACTCCCAGTCTGGATTTAGAGGAATTTTAAGGATGGAGGAACTGCAGTTTGGTTACTGGGAGTAATTGTTAAGGGATAGATAAGAATAGCAAACACTCCTATGTGCTAGAAGCAGTTCAAGCACATTAGCAATGTTAAATCATTTATCCCTGAACTCTGGCTATCCTTTGACCACTGATGACTGTGGTTTCCACCATGAGCCAGCCAGGTGGATGCTGGAGGTGAGGTGGTCAGAGGAGACAGAAACCTTGGAGGGCTGAGGTGGTCTGTGAAGAGCCTTGAGGGGAGGGCGCAGAGAGGGCTGGGAGAAATGGAGTGAGTAAATGCTCTGGTGGGACAGCCCTCAAGGTGGGAGTGAAAGGAAATTGCCAGCCCCAAGGCAGTTCTGAGAAGGGACGAGGCTCAGCTCTGGAGGCAGGCAGACCTGGATCTGAATCCTGATCTGAATACCTGCCGCTTCCAAACTAAATGAGCAGATTCCTAAATGGCTTCTGGCCCCAGGCTCCTCATCTGGAAATGGGGCCAAAGCTACCTCATAGGGCTATGCATTAAATGAGACAGTGGGTGCAAAGTGCTAACACTGTTTGGCAGAGGTTAAGCACTCAGTGTTGGTGTCGTTAGGAGTAGCTTTTGGGCACTCTAACCTCACATACCAGGGTGCCGCTGCTGGATTTCATCGGGTTGGAGCAGGTGTTGGGAAGCGTGTGGTATCCTGGCCGGCCCTCAGTGCCCCACCTCCCTGTGTCCTCTAGGTACTTCCCCATTATCCTGGTTTCGGGGCCTGGAGGATGATTCTGTGGCTGCAGAACTTGGGCTGGACTTTCAGAGATTCCTGACCTTGAACCGGACCTTGCTAGTGGCTGCCCGGTAAACTGGCCGTGGCACAGTTGTGGGGCAGACATGCATGCTCCTGGGCAGACATGGGACCTGCATGGCCACTGCAGCATCTTGCAGGGGACACATGCAGGTGCACAAGCCGTGGGGTGTGGACATGCTTGGACCCAGAGCACAAATGCCGAGGCATGGAGTTAAGGGGCAGGCAGGGGGCAGAAGGTCCGCGCTGTTTGTCCCTGAACAGCTGACAGTGGGTAAGGTGGGGGTAAGGAGCTCAGCTGGGGTGCCTTGACTAGGCTCTGATCCCTCCTTCTATACCCCTTCAGGGATCACGTTTTCTCCTTTGATCTTCAAGCCCAAGAAGAAGGGGAGGGGCTGGTGCCTAACAAGGTGAGGGGCTGTGTGGGAAGAGGTCCAGACATGGAGATGAGGCTGGGAGAGGTCTAATGGGGGTCAGGGGGTGGGAAGAAGAATCCAAAAGAAGCCATAATGTGAGGAGGGAACCCAGTTGCCCCATGATTTTCCCTCCTCAACTTCTCCCTTCAGTATCTAACATGGAGGAGCCAAGATGTGGAGAACTGTGCCGTGCGGGGAAAGCTGACGGTGAGGAGATGAGAACGCGGAGGGAAGGAGAGGATTACTCTGCCTCCAGTCTCCGTCCAGCCGGTCTCTACCATGCCCAATTTCCTTCACACTTTTTCCATCCCAGCCACAGGGGAAAATGGGGAGGAAAGAGAATTCCTGATTTTTAGTTTCTCTTACATGCCTCACAGAAAAGTGAGGCTCAGAGAGGCCAAAGGATTTGCTTAAGGCCAGAGGGCCAGCAAACAGCTTAGTTGGGACTTTATCCCACATTGCTTGGATGGACCCAAAAGGAGTAGCCCACCTATCTATTCCCCCTTGTCTCAGACCTAGAACCCCGTCATTGACCTAGAATTTTGGGTTCTCTAGGACGAGTGCTACAACTATATTCGTGTTCTTCTTCCCTGGGACTCCCAGACGCTCCTCGCCTGTGGAACGAACTCATTCAGTCCTGTGTGCCGCAGCTATGGGGTACAAAAGAGAGGGTGGGGGTCAGGATGGGAGTTGGGGGGACCCCAAGATGGGCAATCAGTTTGATGGGAAAGGACCAGGAAGTGGGGTTGGGGAATGGGAGTGCCCAGAATGCAAGGGGTTCAGAGGGAGTGGGGAGGAGGCAATGGGACCGGAAGGGACAGGCTGTGGAGCCATACTCCAAGACCCTAAAGGTTCCAGGATCTGCTCCCTCTGCCCCCAGATAACTTCGCTGCAGCAGGAGGGTGAGGAGCTGAGTGGGCAGGCTCGATGCCCCTTTGACGCCACCCAGTCCAACGTGGCCGTCTTTGCAGGTGTGCAACTGGGCATGTGAGAAGCAAGCATGCGGCTGGAGGGAGCTCCCACCTCAGCTCCTCTCCCAACCGGTCTTTTCCCCCGTTCCCCTGAGTGGAGGGTTGAGGTAGGGGCCAGGGCCAGGCCTAGGCAGGGGTGCGGGAGGCCCAAGAAGAGGCAGGATGCAGATCCCCGAGCCCTCCCCTGACCCCACTTCACCCATCCCTCCAGACGGCAGCCTGTACTCAGCCACAGCTGCAGACTTCCAGGCCAGTGATGCTGTAGTTTACAGAAGCCTTGGGCCTCAGCCCCCACTCCGCTCCGCCAAGTACGACTCCAAGTGGCTCCGAGGTCAGGGCGGGCCTGGGGAAAGGAGACTGTTCTCGGGGAGGAGGTGCAGAGGGAGGACTGTGGCAGGGAGCAGGCAGAGGGTGTGGTAGTGGGTATGTACGCGATGGGGAGAGGGGTGTGGGACCAAGAGCTTCTGAGCAGATACAGATACTCTTCTATACCCTTCCCTGTCACTCCCCACCTTAGAGCCACACTTTGTCCATGCCCTGGAGCATGGAGACCATGTCTACTTCTTCTTCCGCGAGGTCTCTGTGGAGGATGCCCGGCTGGGGAGGGTAAGGAGGTGGGGTGGGTAGCTGGAGGGTTCTGCTGGATCCTGAGGAGCCAGTCTGAGTGGGAGGAGAGCTCCTGACCATGATCTCCACAAAGCAATCCCCTGGACTCTCAGCCCCCAGCTTGGAGTAGCCCCGAGGCCTGTGCCCCCACATCTTGCTTGTCCCTCACCCTTGACCCACACTGACCAACCACAATACACCCTTCATTCACTATGCCCCACACGTTGCTTCCTTGGTGCTAACTCACCACACCCGTGCACACAGCTGGCCCTGTGGCTCCTTCACTGCTGTCTGCTCCACTCTCTTCCCCCAGGTGCAGTTCTCCCGAGTAGCCCGAGTGTGTAAACGTGACATGGGCGGCTCGCCTCGGGCCTTGGACCGCCACTGGACATCCTTCCTGAAGCTGCGGCTCAACTGCTCTGTCCCTGGGGACTCTGCTTTCTATTTTGACGTTTTACAGGCCTTGACTGGGCCTGTGAACCTGCATGGCCGCTCTGCTCTCTTTGGGGTCTTCACCACCCAGACCAATAGGTTGGTACTAGTCTTAACTAATGTGACCCGATCTGTCCCCTGCCTCACCAGCCTCCAAACTCCCCTTTCACAGCCTGCTGATGGGGGGCTGTCAAGGAAACCTCTAAGCAAAGCCAGTTTGCTGTCTTGCCTACCATGTTTTCTCCTAGTGTGGCACCCAGTGGCTGCCCCACCTCCTCAGTCTCCACCTCCTAACGTGGTGCGTGAAGGGGGCCACCACTTCTTCCTGGGGAAAGTTGTGCAGTTCCTTTCAGCACCTATCCTGCATCTTTTCTGGCTCCTCCAGCATCCCTGGCTCTGCTGTCTGCGCCTTCTACCTGGATGAGATTGAGCGTGGGTTTGAGGGCAAGTTCAAGGAGCAGCGGAGTCTGGATGGGGCCTGGACTCCTGTGTCTGAGGACAGGGTCCCCTCACCCAGGTACCCGAGATGGAATGGCTTTTGTGGGGGCAGATGCTGCTTGCTTCTGCAAGACAGGATTATGAGGAGGGGGTAAGATGTCCAAGGCCTCAGGGTGGGGAGCTACAGTGGGGTGGCAGTGGGACCAAAGAGCTGTGGCAGGGAAGGGGAGCAGTGGTATGAGTGTCTGTGTGGAGGGGGAGCAAGGCTTTCTAGTCATGTTTGGGAGCAATGGGGGGCACAGAGCTTAACTGAAGCTCTAGCTCCCAGTCCCAAGGCAGCCCCTTCCTATGCACCCCCAGGCCAGGATCCTGTGCAGGAATAGGGGGAGCTGCCTTGTTCTCCTCTTCTCGAGACCTCCCTGATGATGTCCTGACCTTCATCAAGGCTCACCCACTGCTGGACCCCGCTGTGCCGCCTGCCACCCATCAGCCTCTACTCACTCTCACTAGCAGGTATGGGGCTGAAAAACACTGACCACCGCCCCCGTCCTCGGCCACCCTCCTTTTTCTTAGACCCCACAAGGTAAACCACATTGGTGGGAGGAAGAACTTGTAAAAGTAGAATGGAGAGAGCTAAGAAGAGAACCCTGGGGCCTGGGGGGAGGGCACAGGCACAGCCACCAGGACAGCCGGGCTCTCCCTGAAATGCTCAGGCTTCCCTAACAGGTTCCCTGACCTCAAGCCCTTTTCTCCAGGGCCCTACTGACCCAGGTAGCTGTGGATGGCATGGCTGGTCCCTACAGTAACATCACAGTCATGTTCCTTGGCTCCAACGATGGGACAGTGCTTAAGGTGCTGCCCCCAGGTGGGCAATCTGGGGGACCTGAGCCGATCCTCCTGGAAGAGATTGATGCCTACAGCCCTGCCCGGTGAGACCTTTGGAGAGCAGGCCCCCTGCAGAGCAAGGATGGGATGGGAGGTAGCAGCTGTGGATGTGGGAATGGGTTGGAAACATCAACATTGGCTTTTGCAGGGTGGGAGCTCTGGGCTAGAGAGGCTTGGCAAGAAGACTGGGCAGTGTGGTCAGGCAAGGCAGCTCCATGGGTTGTGCTCAGTTTCTTGTGCACCTCCTCGCTGTTTTTCTACTCCCTCGGGGTAAAGGTAGCCTCACCTGCCCATCTCTGATTCCTTCTGGCCTCATCCTAGGTGCAGTGGGAAGCGGGCAGCCCTAACAGCACGACGGATCATAGGGCTGGAGCTGGACACTGAGGGTCACAGGCTCTTTGTGGCTTTTTCTGGCTGTATTGTCTACCTCCCTCTCAGCCGGTGTGCCCGGCATGGGGCCTGTCAGAGGTGAGAGGGGCCTGAGGCCCTGTGTGGGCAAGCTCCCCAGGCCAGCAAGAGCACAGAAACAGGTCTTGGGGTTGGCAGGGAAACATAGGGGATGGCTGGGATGTGTGTGGGTACCTCAAGCATTCTGAAGGTGGGCAGCAACCAGGGTGTGGAGAGACTGGGGTGGGCAGGAGAGAATGAGGCTGGGAGTCTCCTGTAAGCAAGGGCGGGAAGAGGCAGGAGAATGTTAAGTGACTAGAGTGGAAAGGGTTCCAGCTTCACATGCCTCTGCTTTCCCTAGGAGCTGTCTGGCTTCTCAGGACCCATACTGTGGATGGCACAGCTCCAGAGGCTGTGTGGATATCAGGGGACCTGGTGGGTGAGTGATGGGTCCTTGGATTTCCTGAACATAAAACTCCCCACCACTAAAAGAGCAAGAGGGCCAGAGTGGGAGACAGGGACAAGGTACAGAATTCTAGAGCCACCTCATTTTCCTCCTAGGACTGATGTGGATCGGGCTGGGAGCCAGGAATCCATGGAGCATGGTGACTGCCAAGGTAAACAGAAGAGGTGTCTGCGGTTGAAGCCAAAGCTTGCACATGGCTATGATGGCCACAGACACCATCCCAGGCTTGGACTCTTGTCCTTCTCTCCTTCTGTGGCACAGTCACCCCATCAGTTCTTCATGAAGCTTCTCCCTCCCCCCAATCTTCACCCTCTTGCTTCTTCACAGACGGAGCTACTGGGAGTCAGTCTGGCCCTGGGGATTCTGCTTATGGTGAGTCCTCTTGTACCAACTCCACCTTCCCTTGCTCAGCCCACATACCTGAGCATGTGTCCTGTGGCAGCAGCAGACCAGCATCCTGAATACCCTGGGAGTCTCAGAAAAGGGTCAGCATCCTCCAGATACCCAGCATGTAGCTCAGTACTTGGCACACAGTAGGGCACTTTTTGAATAAATAAATGTCCTGCATGATGAGCCCTGCCCCATGCCCGGAAGAAAGTAGAGGCTGGTATTCTGGACTTCTAGGTTCCACAGGAGGGAGGAAGGACCCCTGGAAGGGTGTCAAGGGGAAAGATCAGGAGCCTCACTGGCTCTGACCTGGTCTCTGTCACCAGTGCTTCCGGGTCCTGGTCCTGACCTTGGGACCCTCAGTCCCCCCAGTGATGCCCACCCCTGGCCCCAGTCTTCCACTCTTGGAGCTTACACTCGGGGTAAGGGGGCTACCTGGGAGGGACAGGAGTGAAGTGTGGGGCTGCTGATTCTCGGAGTGTTCTAAGCCCCTCACTGACCTGTGTTTGGTGCTCACTAACGCCCGTTTGGAGCCTCCTCTCCCCAGAGCTGGGCATCCCAGCCCCCCTCCATCTGCACGAGCAGTTTGGCAGTTGCTCTTGGCATGGCTACAGGGGCCAGAGCTGGGATGGGACTCCCCAGGCCCAAGCTCTGGTCTGAGTGTGAGGGGTAGTACGTGGGCTGTTGCTGAGGGGTCAGGGGAGGTGAATCCTGAGGATGGTGGAGGCTGTGGATGGTATCAGGCCTGGGAACTGCCGGCGCCTCTGAGCCGAGGTCCCCCCCCCGCCGCGCCACCTCCCCTTGGCTGAGCCTTCCTCCTCCCTCTCGGTCGGCAGGCGTGCGCCGGGACCCGCCCCCAGCCTCAGCCTCCCGCTCGGTCCCCATCCCACTCCTCCTGGCCAGTGTGGCCGCAGCTTTCGCTCTGGGCGCCTCAGTGTCTGGCCTCCTGGTCTCCTGTGCTTGTCGCCGCGCCCACCGACGTAGAGGCAAGGACATCGAGACTCCGGGGCTCCCGCGCCCTCTTTCCCTCCGCAGTTTGGCCCGGCTACACGGTGGGGGCCCAGAGCCCCCGCTGCCGTCCAAGGACGGCGACGCGGTGCAGACGCCGCAGCTGTACACCACCTTCCTGCCGCCTCCCGAGGGCGTGCCCCCGCCGGAGCTGGCCTGCCTGCCCACCCCCGAGTCCACGCCGGAGCTGCCGGTCAAGCACCTCCGCGCCGCTGGGGACCCCTGGGAGTGGAACCAGAACAGGAACAACGCCAAGGAGGGCCCGGGCCGCTCTAGGGGCGGAAACGCGGGGGGCGGGCCCGCGCCCCGCGTGCTGGTGAGGCCGCCACCGCCCGGCTGTCCCGGGCAGGCCGTGGAAGTCACCACCCTGGAGGAACTGCTGCGCTACCTGCACGGCCCGCAACCGCCCAGGAAGGGGGCCGAGCCCCCACTTCCCTTAACCTCGCGGGCGCTCCCGCCCGAGCCCGCCCCCGCCCTCTTGGGCGGCCCCAGTCCCCGGCGCCCGGAGTGCGCCCCGCCGCTGAGGCTGGACGTGCCCCCCGAGGGCAGGTGCGCCGCTGCCACCGCCCGGCCCGCGCTCTCCGCCCCCGCACCCCGGCTGGGCGTCGGAGGGGGCCGGAGGTTGCCTTTCTCCAGCCACCGGGCCCCCCCTGCCCTGCTCACTCGAGTCCCCTCGGGGGGTCCCTCCAGGTACTCCGGGGGGCCCGGGAGGCACCTCCTGTACCTGGGCCGGCCCGAGGGCTACCGGGGCCGCGCCCTGAAGAGGGTGGACATGGAGAAGCCCCAACTGTCCCCGAAGCCTCCCCTCGTCGGGCCCTCCTCCCGCCAGGCCGTCCCGAACGGCGGCCATTTCAACTTTTAAAGGGAGCGGCCCCCGGCCTCCAGCGGAGCGCGGGCGGGGTGGGGAGTCCTCTCGGCCGCGAGCGGGACGCTCTTCAGGACGCCTCACCGCCCCCTCGCCCCCTCGCCCCGCACCTCCAGCCTTCCCGACTCGCAGAGCCTCCCGAGGCCCCTTTCCGCCTCGGGTCTATTTATTGACTGCCGACTGGCCTTCCCCCTGCCCTCGAGAGAGGAGTGGGAGGTGAGCCAGCACTTCGCGGGGAGCTGGCGGACTCCCACTCCCCGCTCCCTTCCAGCCAAGCTGCCTTAACTCGCCCCTCGGGGCGCCCCCAGAGACTGGCCCCAGGCGGGCCGCGCGCGTTGTGTCCGAGTCCTCGGGCCTCCGGGGCTGGGACGTGCCTCTCCTACTGTGTAGGAGCCTCCGCTTCCCAATACAGCCGTGTCCGCAGCCGCTGCCTGCTTTACTCGGGCCGGGGAGGGCGGCAGTCGGTCGGCTCGCTCGCGGCGCCCTCGCCCTTCGTCGGGCCCTGGGCTCTCCCGGGTAATGGGATGGCTGCGGTCCCGCCGGGGCGAGTCAGGAAAGGGCTACTGAAGGAAGCGAGCGGACTATTGGTGCCGAGGTGAGCCTGGGCCCGGGGACCCGGGAGAGCTGGGGTGGGCCTGGGGACGGCCCTCGGAGCTCGCTCCCGGATCGAGGTAAGAGGGACCTGCTGACAGGCCGAGTCTATGGGATGCGGCGGGGGAGGGAATTTTTTGAGAAATAAAATGAAGCTGCAGCGTACGTTAACTGAAGTTCCACATCAGAAAATCTTGTCCTGAGACTGCCTAGAAGAGTTTGGGTCGCAGGAGGGGTAGGCTGCAAAAAACGCAAACGATTCGGCCCTGTTGGAGGCAAGGTTCTGCCCGCAGCTCTTCCCTGAGGAGTGGCCTCCGCGGAGAGCGGGAGGGGGCGGGAGCGCGCGCGGCGTCACACGCATGCGCAGCCACCCCCCCCCCGCCCCCCGCCGAGGCGCCTCCGCCGCGCTCGAGCCCCGCGCGCCCGGGATCAGCCAGTGTGTGGCGTTCCTGATGCTCGCTTTGCTCCGGTTGGAACTGGCTGCCCGTCCTGGGACTGGCTGCGTTATCCCCGGCACCACTGGGAGAGATGAACAGAACCACCTGCACCGCCCACCACCCTCGCGCTAACGACGCTTAAGGCCTAATGCCGGCGGCGGCAGTTGGTGCGAATTTACAAATCGGGTTTTTCACCCGTTCGTAGCTGCAGTGTCCGCCCAGTTCAAGCCTCACATTCTCCCGCTGGCGCCGCCTGGGGGCCGGGCCAACTCACTGCTGCTAAGGAAGCCTCCTCAGTCCCTTTTCCCGTTTGCTACCTAGAAGTCCTCCGCGAGAAACTGCTGAGGATAATTAAGGGAAGAACCCTGAGGTTGTTCCTAGTTCCGCCCTTTACTACCTGAGATTATGACGGGTCAAAACTCCTCCCGGAGCCTCCATTTGCTCATCTGAAAAATGGGGTTGAGAGGCTCAAGTACTAGAATGTGAAAAAGCTTTCTAAAGGCATGGCATGTTGTGAGATAGTATTTCCTCCAAACTCACGCATAGGCTATTCCTATTCCTAACTTTGCGATCTGCTTTTACTAGGCAATCCCTTTCCCTTTGTATCCTTAGAATTTTCATCTATAGGTTTTGCCCTCAGGGTTTTTTAATGCCCTCTGAACATTACTCCTATTTCAGTTTAGATTGGCCAAATTTGGTTGTCCTCCAGAGTCTGACCCCTTTTTGCTTGGCTCTTGTTTCAACAGCTTAGAGTGGTCCTTTAGTCTCAGTTTTTCCCGTATCGGATGCCTTAACCTAAAGCAAGGTGCTTTGGGGCCAGTGTTAGTTTCCTAGATACTGGAGGAAAGTAAGCAAGCAAGGAAGGAGTAGAGAATCCAGTCACTTGACTTCATTATCCTCTTCCAACCGAGATTTTAAAGCAAGGACAAGGCAAAAATTTCAAGGCTGCAGCCTTTCACAGTCCTCTGAGGGACAAAACGCAAATACAGTTCTTGGCCCGAAGGTGGTCACAAACAAAAGGGGTAAATGATCCTAAATGTAGACCTAAAAGAGAGATACATGCAATGGAAATTTAATCTTGTAATTCTTTGCAGGCAGTAGTCATTTATAGGTTAAAGTCCTGGTTGTAGTTTAATTGTAAAATATGTTCATTTATTAGTATTTATCAGTATGGTGACTTCTTTAGCCAAAGAGTGTCTAAACTGGACTCTCGGCGCTAACAGAAGTAACTATGTTGCAGTGACAGCAACAGTCCTTGGTCTCTACCACTTTTCGATGTGACCTTGGCAGTTCAACTACCCTCTTTGAGGCTGTGTTTTGGTAAGAAATGGAAAGAACATATGCCAACAGGGATTTGTAAAGCACCATATAAATATATATATTTAAATTAAGTGCTCTGTGGGAAAGTTATTTGCCCAAAATAAAGATTTCTACCAAGTATGTAATTCATTAATACAGATACCTCTCTCTGATAGAGAGTAGTAAATAAGGCCGGGCGCGGTGGCTCAAGCCTGTAATCCCAGCACTTTGGGAGGCCGAGGCGGGTGGATCACGAGGTCAAGAGATCAAGACCATCCTGGTCAACATGGTGAAACCCCGTCTCTACTAAAAATACAAAAACATTAGCTGCGCATGGTGGCGCGTGCCTGTAATCCCAGCTACTCAGGAGGCTGAGGCAGGAGAATTGCCTGAACCCAGGAGGCGGAGGTTGCAGTGAGATCGCGCCATTGCACTCCAGCCTGGGTAACATGAGTGAACCTCCGTCTCAAAAAAAAAAAAAAAAAAGAGTAGTAAATAATACATTGAGGATGAATTCAAAGAAATTATTTTTGACGACAGGATAAATATGACTTCAAGGAATTTACTAATATTCTTTTTAAAAAATCATACTATTAGCTCAGTTTTTGTCTTAAGGAAAACCAGAATGTGCCAACAGGAGGACATCATCATCCTCAGGGATTTCTAGGCTGATTTCTCAGAGGCATCCTGGGAGATTATGGAGAAACCATGGCCCCAGCAGGCAGAGTCCATCAGTTTATGTAAGGCTTTGGGGACTTGAAACAGAAGGTTCCACACTCGTAGAGCTTGAAAAGCTGTTCAGCATCTTGGGTTCTTTGGAGGCGAAGTCACAGGGGCCTGAGTTGTTATTGTCTCTCAGATTTTTAACTCCTTAATGTCACCATCCCATGCATGAAAACCACACGGGTACGCGTCATTGTCTGCTACTTAATCCAGCAGTTGACCCTTCAGAACTGTTAGCTCATAAGAACGTAAGGTTGTATGTATGAAAGTAAGTTTCAAGTACATGGATAAAATATGAAACCTATAAATCTAAAAGATCACCTATCTTTACCAGTTGTATTGGACAGGGTCCCAACAGAAAATAACATTCTCAAAATAATGAAGGATTATTTTTAAAGGTATGGGCAAAGGATAGGTCAGTAGCTGGAGGCTAATAACTGCCTTTGGCCTAAAAGGATAAAGGAGATACTGGTTTCTAGGTCCTGGAGGGGGAGAGTGCTTTGAGAGAAGCAGTGACTTTTTTTTTTCTTTTTAAAGATAGAATTGCAGGCTGGAGTGGAGTGGTGTGATCTCAGCTCACTGAAACCTCCGCCTCCCAGGTTCAAGTGATTTTCGTGCTTCAGGTTCCCCAGTAGCTGAGATTACAGGAGTTAGCCACTGTGCCGGGCAGATGTCAATACATTGACTTCAGTTTTTTCTCTCCCCTGAGTCTCCTGCCAGGGCCCCCTATTGGCTGAATCCAACTGGAAGCCAAAACACAGGAAGCCCATTGATGTTCATATTTGTCACTCTCCCAGGACAGAGAACAGGAGACAGAATGGAGGAGCATAATCTGGAAGGAAAGAAAGAAAACACCCAGCATACCTAGAGATGAAGACCCCATTCATTCCCCACAGGAGAGATTATTTTTTACCTTTCTTGCTTAAGTATTGTTGGCCAGAAACTCTATGCAGATACCCCCAAATTAGTTTTGGAGCAAAATTTACTTTGGGGAGTTTATAGGAAATGCTGCTTGGATCATTTTTTTCCCTTTTTTTTTTTTGGAGACAGTCTCACTCTGTTGCCCAGGTTGGAGTGCAATGGCACAATCCTGGCTCACTGCAGTCTCAGGCCCTAGGTTCAAGTGATTCTCCTGCCTCAGCCTCCCGAGTAGCTGAGATTACAGGCGCATACCACCACACCCAGCTGATATTTGTATATTTAGTAGAGATGGGGTTTCACCATGTTGACCAAGCTGGTCTTGAACTCCTGACCTCAGGTGATTCACCTGCCTTGGCCTCCCAAAATGCTGGGATTACAGGTGTGAGCCACTGAGCCTGGCCCTGCTCCTCCTATTTTTTTTAAATAAATGTGTGCTGATTTTGGACTAAGATAGCAGCAAGCACCCTATTAACCAAGAATAGCTGAGAAGCTGGCAAAGTAAATCTGCTCTTTCTAAGCATTCCTGAGTCTAATGTTTTTCCTTGCACATCTCAGCATTGACTTTACTCCCACACAAGGCACATAATCATTTTCTTCAGCTACTGTCCTCCCTTGGTTGTTTGCTTTTAGGGAAGGGAGTAGGGGGAGAGAGAAAGAAGGAAAATGTACATTTAATAAGCTGGTCAAAAGCCCTCCTCATTCTCATTTCACTTCTTACCTCAACCTGCTCTGCCTGTCAAGAATACCAGGCTGAGAGAGGTGGATAAGGAAAAGGCAGTGGGTGTGCATGGGTTAGATCTATACCCCTCCCCCTGCAATTGGCTCAGTTGGACAGGGAAAATGAGCTCTTGTGGTTCACCTGTGAACAGAGAATAGATACAAATTGTGCCCAGGAGATGAAAACAAATTCAATGACACCCTAAAATGGTCGGCTTTGACATTTTATTGAGAAACATTTTTATTTTAAATGATAGTACAAAAACTATATATAATATATATCTGTATAAGTATATATACATATAAATGCTCATACACATATACACACAAACTTGTTCATCAGAATCAAACCCTATTTTATTCTAAATAAAAAAGCATATTTAAGTTTTTCTAAAAATATGCTGTACATAAAGCTGTCAGACAACCTGAAAAACTGAGGACATTGTCAGAATAGTCTCCGTGCATCCCCCGGCCCCGCCCCAATACGCACACAAATGGCCTTGACAGAAGGAGAGCACATGGGGCAAAGCCAGGGAGAGAGCTGCTACCATCAATGTTGCTAGAACAAGATGCTTAAAGCCAACTAGGAAGCACATGATATAGAAGGTGACCTAGATTAACTTTTAGAAACAAACCACCTCAGAATAGACAAAGAATATGTGGTAGGGAAGGAGGGGAATGGAGAGAGAAAAGACAAGGCCTAGAGAGTACAAATGACCTACTAATTAAATTCAAGTGCCTGAGAAAGCCTCAATGAGATAGGAACCATGGAATCACAAAAGCAGAACAGGAGGGGTAGGGGAAGATATGGAATCACAATTTCCTGCTACTACCATGCCAAACTGTTACTGTAGAGTCTGGGAATATCACCTCACCCCTAATACTAGACGGGCTAAAAAATAAAAATTGTAAAAGGGCAGCACCAGAGACTCAAAAATAAAAAATTGGCATAGGAAATAGAGTACGACTCAGAAGGGGGAAATAGTCACCACATAAAATGGAGAGATAAGAACCTAGAGTGCATACAGGTGGTCATGACATAGTCCATTCTGAAGCTCCTTTTCTAGCCATCCAGAGATGGGCCTGCACAAGGAGTAGAGAAGAGGAAGCCTTCTCTAATACATTGGTACACAAACTGATTCCCATTCAATGTTAAACTTTTTTTTGTTTTTTTTTTGGGATGGAGTCTCCCTCTGTCGCCCAGGCTGGAGTGCAGTGGCGTGATCTCGGCTTACCACAACCTCCACCTCCCAGGTTAAAAGGATTTTCCTGCTTTAGCTTCCTGAGTAACTGGGAGTACAGGCACACGATACCACACTGGCTAATTTTTGAATTTTTAGTAAAGACTGGGTTTCACCATGTTGGTCAGGCTGGTCTCGAACTCCTGACCTTGTGATCCGCCCACCTCAGCCTCCCAAAGTGCTGGGATTACAGGCGTGAGCCACCACACCAGGCTCAATATTAAACTTTTAGGAAGACTTCAGTAAATGCCTCAAATTTTCTAGCGCTCGAGGTCTATAATGATAGGAGAGAGCCACACAAGCTTTCTTAAAATAGTTATCATCATACTGGCGAGAGAAAAAAAAAAAAGAAAAAAAATCATTTCTTAAACTGGTATATATATATATATATATATATATTTTTTTTTTTTTTGAGATGGAGTCTTGCTCTGTTGCCTAGGCTGGAGTGCAGTGGCGTGATCTCATCTCGTTTCACTGCAACCTCCATCTCCCAGGTTCAAGTGATTCTCCTGCCTCAGCTTCCTGAGTAGCTGGGATTACAGGTGCATGCTACCACACCCGGCTTAATTTTTGTATTTTTTATTAGAGAGATAGGGTTTCACTATGTTGACCAGGCTGGTCTCGAACTCCTTGTGATCTGCCTGCCTCAGCCTCCCAAAGTGTTGGGATTACAGATGAGAGCCACTGCACCTGGTCCAAACTAATATTCCTAATTCCTAAACCAGGAAAGTAGATATATAAAGTGTCTGTTCCTTCTGCCATAGCCTTTATCTGGGATTTCCTTCCTGTTCGTTCAGAGGTGTAAGATATTTTACAAGTGCCAGTCAAAATAGCTACCATAGGAGTGGAAAGAAGTCCTGCCCTGTGGAGAGGCAGGTCCATCTCTATCTCTGTCACCCAGGCTGGAGCTCAGTGGCATGAAAACAGCTCGCTGCAGCCTCTATCTCTTAGGTTCAAGCAATCCTCCCACCTCAGCCTCTGGAGTAGCTGGGACCACAGGCATGCACCACCACACCCAACTAATTTTTTTTATTTTCTATAGAAATGAGGTCTCACTATGTTGCCCAGGCTGGTCTCCAACTCTCGTGGGCTTAAGTGATCCTCCCACCTTTGCCTTCCCAAATGCTGGGATTACAGATGTGAGCCATCATGTCCAGCCTTGAATTTTTCAGCATACATGGCATTATCACATATCCTAAGCAAATTCCCTGGTCAATTCATTTATTTTATTCATTTATTTTTGAGACAGAGTCTTGTGCTATTGCCCAGGCTGAAGTACAGTGGTGCAATGTCGGCTCACTGTAACCTCCACCTCCTCGGTTCAAGTGATTCTCCTGCCTCAGCCTCCTGAATAGCTGGGACTACAGGCATGTGCCACCACCCCCGGCTAATTTTTTTATTTTTAGTAGAGACTGTGTTTCACCAGGTTGGTGAGGCTGGTCTCAAACTCCTGGCCTCAAGTGATCCTCCTGCCTCGGCCTCCCAAAGTGCTGGGATTATAGGTGTGAGCCACTGTGCCCAGCTGAGGTGGGCAGCTCACAAGGTCAGGAGTTTGAGACCAGCCTGGCCAATATGGTGAAATGCTGTCTATACTAAAAATACAAAAATTAGCCGGGCATGGTGGCAGGTTCCTGTAGTCCCAGCTACTCGGGAGGCTGAGGCAGGGGAATCGCTTGAACTGGAAGATGGAGGTTGCAGTGATCCGAGATCATGCCACTGCACTCCAGCCTGGGCAACAGAGCAAGACTCTGTCTCAAAAAAAAAAAAAAAAAAAAAAAGTCAATTTGGTTTCTAACATTACTGAGCAGACACAAAAATTTTAATAATGCAAGGGTAAGGCTGAAGAAGCGGCAAAGGCAAAATAAAAAATAACTAGGGCCAGGCATGGTGGCTCATACCTGTAATCCCAGCACTTTGGGAGGCTGAGGTGGGTGGATCACAAAGTCAGGAGATCGAGACCATCCTGGCCAACATGGTGAAACCCCATCTCTACTAAAAATACAAAAAAATTAGCTGGGTATGGTGGTGCACACCTGTAGTCCCAGCTACTTGGGAGGCTGAGGCGGGAGAGTTGCTTGAACCCAGGAGGCAGAGGTTGCAGTGAGCTGAGATTGCACCACTGCACTCCAGCCTGAGTGACAGAGCAAGACTCCCTTTCAAAAACAAAAACAAAAAAATCTATAGCCAGCAAGTGCCTATAGTCCCAGCTATTCAAGAAGCTGAGGAAAGGGGATCACTTGAGCCGAAGAAGAGTTTAAGTTCAGTTCGGATAATGCATTCCGATCCCATGTCTTAAAAAACACACACACATACAAAACATAAAGCCAAATTCTCCCACATTTCAATTAAGAGACCTCAACTTTAGCATTAGCATTAGAAGATCCTATAAAGGTAGTAATGGGAAAGGAAGGCACACTTATACATTTATAATTAATTTCCCTGAAGCTAGGAACAAGAATAGAAGTATTAAAATTTATTTCTTTCTATTCTGGGGAGAAAGGCTGAAGGCCAAAAAATGTAGCATCTAAAATTCCTGCCATTAATACTGATATTGCTAAAGCAGCTATTTTTTTTTCTTTTTGAGATGGAGTTTCACCTTGTCACCCAGGCTGGAATGCAGTGACGCGATCTCGGCTCACTGCAAGCTCTGCCTCCCAGGTTCAAACGAGTCTCCTGCCTCAGTCTCCCGAGTAGCTGGGATTATAGGCGTGTGCCACCACACCTGGCTAATTTTTTGTATTTTTAGTAAAGACTGGGTTTCACCATGTTAGCCAGGATGGTCTCAATCTCCTGACCTCGTGATCCACCCACCTCAGCCTCTCAAAGTGCTGGGATTACAGGCATGAACCACCACACCTGGCGCAGCAGCTTTATTTTATATATTTTATTGTTTTGAGACAGGTGTTTATTGTTCTGTTGCCTAGGCTGGAGTGCAGTGGGACAATCATGGCTCACTACAGTCTCAACCTCCCAGGCTCACGTAATCTTCCCACCTCAGCCTTCTGAGTAGCTGGGAGTACAGGTGCATGAAATCACATCTGGCTAATTTTTTTTAATTTTTTATAGTGACAAGGTCTTGCTCTGTTGGTCAGGCTGGCCTCCAACTCCTGGCCTCAGTGATCCTCCTGCCTCAGCCTCCCAAGGTGCTGGGATTACAGGCATGAGACACCATGCTCAGCTCCTAAAGCAGCTTTATTTTGAAGTAGACAACCATCCTAAGCTCTCAGTTTCTCCTGCTCAAGCACCAACTCTGATCCATATGTCTTTTTTGTTGTTGTCGTTGTTGAGATGGAGTTTCACTCTTGTTGCCCAGGCTGGAGTGCAATGGTGTAAACTTGGCTCACCGCAACCTCCGCCTCCCGGGTTCAAGGAATTCTCCTGCCTCAGCCTCCTGAGTAGCTGGGATTACAGGCATGTGCCACCATGTCTGGCTAATTTTTTGTATTTTTAGTTTCTCCATGTTGGTCAGGCTGGTTTTGAACTCCCGACCTCAGGTGATCTGCCCACCTTAGCCTCCCAAAGTGCTGGGATTATAAGTGTGAGCCACCAAGCCTGGCTTTTTTTTTTTTTTTTTTTTTTTTTTTCCTTTTTTTGAGACAGAGTCTCTCTCTGTTGCTCAGGCTGGAGTACAGTGGCACAATCTCAGCTCACTGCAGACTCTCCCTTCCAGGTTCAAGCAATTCTTTTGCGCCAGTCTCCAGAATAGCTGGGACTACAGGCGTGCACCAGGACACCCGACTAATTTTTGTATTTTTGATAGAGACAGGGTTTTGCCAGGTTGGCCAGGCTGGTCTCGAACTCCTGACCTCAAGTGATCTACACGCCTCAGCCTCCCAAAGTGCTGTGATTATAGGTGTGAGCCACCATGCCCAGCCATTTTTGTGTTATTTGATTCTCAAAAACCCAACCTGGCCAGTAAACCAGTTGGAATCCTCTAACCCAGAAGATCTAAGCAATATTTCCCCAACTTCCATGACTAATCCAGAAAGATATGCAAAATCATGAAATGGTATTGCCATTAATGTATTCAATATTTAATTTCTAACTACTTCAAAGCATCCTCACTTGCCATTCTCTCCATGGCAATGCAATGGAGATCAAATCTTATTTCTCTTATCTGGGATGCCAAGAGGTCGGTTCTGAGTGAATAAAAATGAATGCCTTTTTCTTTTTTTTTTTTTTTTTTTTTTTTTTTGAGACGGAGTTTCGCTCTTGTTACCCAGGCTGGAGTGCAATGGCACGATCTCGGCTCACCGCAACCTCCGCCTCCTGGGTTCAGGCAATTCTCCTGCCTCAGCCTCCTGAGTAGCTGGGATTACAGGCACGTGCCACCATGCCCAGCTAATTTTTTTGTATTTTTAGTAGAGACGGGGTTTCACCATGTTGACCAGGATGGTCTCGATCTCTTGACCTTGTGATCCACCCGCCTCGGCCTCCCAAAGTGCTGGGATTACAGGCTTGAGCCACCGCGCCCGGCCTGAATGCCTTTTTCTTACTTTTTTTCAGATACCTCCATTCTCTCCCTTCCTACCCCAGCCTCTCCTCCAACAAACTCCCCTATCTCAGAGACCCATCAACAAAAATGACTTGGCCTGTATTAGAGATTTTGGGGGTTGGGGAGGTAGGAGAATGATATTTTCTGCAGAAAGAACAGTAAGATCTGCTAAAGAATTCCCCCAGTCAGAACAAAGTTTATATCTCAAGACCAGAGTTTCATAGCCCCCACAAGCCTCTTTGCAGCCACTTCCCAGCACTGTGGAAACAGCCTGAATTTTCGTTTTATATATACTTCTCCCACATAAACAAGTGTTCTTTCTTTTCCAGGTTTGTTTTTTTTTGAAACAGAGTCTTGCTCTGTCACCCAGGCTGGAGTGCAGTGGCGTGATCTCGGCTCACTGCAAAAAGCTCATACCTGTAATCTCAGCACTTTGGGAGGCCAAGTCAAGGCAGGCAGATCACCTGAGGTCGGGAGTTTGAGACCAGCCTGACCAATATGGAGTAACCCTGTCTCTACTAAAAATACAAAATTAGCCAGGTGTGGTGGTGCATACCTGTAATCCCAGCTACTTGGGAGGCTGAGGCAAGAGAATCATTTGAACCCGGGAGGTGGAGGTTGTGGTGAGCTGAGATCACGCCATTGCATTCCAGCCTGGACAACGAGAATTAAACTCCGTCTCAAAAAAAAAAAAAAAAAAAAAAATTCCCCCCAAAAAGTGGTGACTGTATACTAACTAAGTCTCTGGTTTGGCCTGAATATCATCTGCAGAATTAACCTCCTGCCCCTTAATGGGTGGGGTGGAGGGAAGAGGGATTAAAGTCAACATATACACCAAGAACATAAAAGACATCTAAAATGAGACTTGGTTCCTTTATCGTTAAAGTAAGGCTCTGAAACCCCGCACCTAACAGCTTCTTGTTAGCACCTGGTTCCCAAAGGGACTCAGAAAAAATAAAAACATTTCGAAGAGGAAAAGATTATTTCACATCAGACAGAACAAATTCATCATCACCCTTACCTAGGCTACTCCCCATTACATTTCCCTGTCATCCTCAACAGTCCAGAATATTCTCCGATCATCTGGGAAGTGTTCAGTACTCAGATCCATGGAGAAAACCTAGCTAAGGTGGCCAGTAGCCAAGATTAATTTCCAAACTGATATTTTCGCCTCTAAATCTGTAACAACCAATTCTATTTGTTAAATTTGGTTTGGGGAGTTAAGTTTTCAGTCTATTTTGAGACCCAAATGATTCTGCTCCTCTGGAACACTGCAGCAAATTATTTCACTAATCAAGATAACAGAACCATGTTAACTGTCAGTATTTTTTCCAAATGAAAAACGCATGTTTTCCCCGTGATTGCTAATTAAGAAAACCATATTCTAAACAGTCATGCAAATGTTTACTTGGCACATCTCCCACTGGTTTCTTCTTTTAATTTATAACAAAGCAAGCAAGTCTAGAATGATGAGGGCCCAATTTCAAAGGCAATAACTTCTGTAATATAACCTGTCCATAACCTCTCTCTCTCCATCCATATTCCATTTCTTTGGGAAAAACTCCATGCCTCCATGCTGACATACAAAGAAAACCCAGCAGGTTAAACACTTTCCAAAAGCATCTGGGCAGAGGAAGTGTAGGCACAGTGGGAGAGGAAGGAGGAAAACAAAGTAGCCAGAATCTTTGGTTCTTTATTTTATGGCACTGATAGTTCTTATTCCCTTTGTCAACACACACTGAGCACCCTATAAGGCACAAAGCTCTGTACTAGACCCCAGCTTAAGGAAGCAGAGCAATTTCCTCATGCCAGATCAAATGGAAATAAAACTAAACAACATCAGGATTTACCTCCAACCCACCTTTTATTTGCACAAAAGAGGGTAAGATGTAAGTGCCACAGAAAAGCATAATACATCCTAAATGACACTTAGAAAATTCAAAAAAGTTTTATAAAATTAGAGTCTAGGCCAGGCACAGTGGCTCACGCCTGTAATCCCAGCACTTTGGGAGGCCTGAGGTCGGGATTTTGAGACCGGACTAACCATGTGGAGAAACCTCATCTCTACTAAAAATACAAAATTAGCTGGGCCTCGTGGCACATGCCTGTAATCTCAGCTACTCGGGAGGCTGAGGCAGGAGAATCTTTTGAACCCGGGAAGCAGAGGTTGCAGTGAGATCTGACCTCGTGATCCGCCCACCTCAGCCTCCCAAATTGCTGGGATTACAGGCGTGTGCCACAGCGCCCAGCCAGTATTCTTTCACCTCTATGCTTAAAGCAATGATGTGATCTAAGACATTTGGTCCATATTCTTTTGGCCCCTTGGAAGAAATGTTCCCTAAATATGGCTTTGAATTTTCCAGTTGCACAGAGAACCTTCCTGAGCCCAAAGCATTGTATCCTGCTATAGTTTTCTTCTTAAAGACACTTAATTTTTTTGTACAATGTTTGTCTTCTATATGTTTTCTTTTTTTAAAAGAGGAATATTATGAACACAGTGCAAACTGGCCCTTGCATATTAAGGTGAAGTAGTTTCCATGGAAACTCCAGTGTGAGGCTCTTTGGTCCCTGCTGACCCAGCCACTTTTGTCTCTTTCTCTTTCAACTCCCCCTCTGTGATGACTGCAGCATGTACCTCAGACACCTCTTCAACCATGGTGAAATCAACTCCATTGCGCTGCTGTCGGGCTATGGCCTCCAGCTTGAGACGGTACTGTTCTGCTTCCTGCTCTTTCTGTAGCAGCTGGTGTCGGTACTCCTGGGCTCTTCGATTGGCCTCCTGGAGTTGTTGCTGTAGTAGCTCTCTTTCATTGCCTTCCTGTCAAAGTAAGCCATGTCACCACCAGGTAAATTCCTGATCATAAATTATGCAGGCGGTAGACAGAAAGATGGGCCAGGCGCAGTGGCTCACGCCTATATCCCAGCACTTTGGGAAGTGGAGGCGGATGGATTACCTGAGGTCAGGAGTTTTCAGATCAGTTTGGCCAACATGGTGAAACCCCGTCTCTGATAAAAATACAAAAATTAGCCAGGCGTGGTAGCAGTTGCCTGTAATCCCAGCTACTTAGGAGGCTGAGGTAGGAGAAGTGCTTGAGCCTGGGATGCAGAGGTTACAGTGAGCTGAGATCATGCCACTGTATTCCAGCCTGGGCAACAGAGTGAGACTCTGTCTCAAAAGGAAAAAAAAAAGATGAAGAAGGGTTCAGGCCTTAAGATTTATGGCTTTTAATTCTTTTTGTCACTCCTAAAAACATTACCTTGCTTTCCTCTACACTGTTTGTCATGTCTTCTATCCTTGGTTTCTTTGTTAGTGGCAACTTCTCTTCTACTTCCTCTTCAATTACAGTCTCCTCTGCAACCTGACCAGCAGGTACAGTTAGAACTACAAGCCAAAAGACATCAATTGGAGATGATGAATACATAATAAAACAAAGAAGTTTTCCTTGCTTTTAATTAGAAAATAAACTAAAATATATTCTAGGTTGGGTGCAGTGGTGGGTGCCTGTAGTCCTAGCTACTCAGGCAGTTAAGGCTGGAGGACTTCTTGAGCCCACGAGTTTGAGACTAGCCTATGGAACACAGCAAGACCCCATCTCAACAAAAAAGCAAAGAAAGAGAAAGTAAAATATATTCTCTGATATATTATTTTTCATATCTCTTTGAATTTTAGAATCAACAGGTAAGGCATGGCCCTTCAGGGAGAAACAAAAAGGATGAATAGAGTGCTAAGAACGGCTCAAAAAGGAAGGGTATAGATTTGCAGTCTTGGAAGCCATGCAAGTAAGTCCCAAGCATGAGGCTCTTATATAGAGGTGTCTGACTCTAGGTCAGCTATGGCCAATTAGCTTATCGATTCACCCAGAAATGGCAGGGCGAGGTGGCTCACACCTATAATTCTAGCACTTTGAGAGGCCAAGGTTGGAGGATCACTTGAGCCCATGTTGACCATCTTGGGCAACATGGCAAACACCGACTCTGCAAAAAAATACAAAAAATTAGCCAGGCATTGTGGAGCGTGCCTATAATTCCAGCTACTTGGGAGGCTGAAGTGGGAGGATCACCTGAGCTTGGGAAGTTGAGGCTGTAGTGAGCCAAGATCTCACCACTGCACTCTAGCCGGGGTGATAGAGTGAGACCCTGTCTGAAAAACAAAAAAACAAAAAAACCAAAAAAAAAACAAACCCTGCAGAAATCATCTGTCAAAAGAAGGCCTGAAGTCCTTATATATTTTGAGACCTCTAATAAAAGCCATTAGCCATTATCTGTACTTAAATTAAAATTCTCTTCTCATAGATAAGTGAGAGAAGGATCAACACACACACAACACACGACATACTACACATCTGTTTGAATGGCTAAAGGATTTTTTTTTGAGTCAGAATTTTGCTCTTATTGCCCAGGCTGAAGTACAATGGTGCGATCTTGGCTTACCAACTTCTGCCTCTCAGGTTCAAGTGACTCTCCTGCCTCAGCCTCCCAAGCAGCTGGAATTATAGGCACGCTCGTGCGCAGCTAAAAGTTTTTTTTTTTAAAGACAGGGTTTCTCCATGTTTGTCAGGCTGGTCTCAAACTCCTGACCTCAAGTGATCTGCCTGCCTCAGCCTCCCAAAGTGCTGGGATTACAGGCGTGAGCCACCGTGCCCGGCCTAAAAGATTTTTTTTTTTTTTTTTGAGACGGAGTTTCGCTCTTGTTACCCAGGCTGGAGTGCAATGGCACGATCTCGGCTCACCGCAACCTCCGCCTCCTGGGTTCAGGCAATTCTCCTGCCTCAGCCTCCTGAGTAGCTGGGATTACAGGCACGTGCCACCATGCCCAGCTAATTTTTTGTAGTTTTAGTAGAGACGGGGTTTCACCATGTTGACCAGGTTGGTCTTGATCTCTTGACCTCATGATCCACCCGCCTTGGCCTCCTAAAGTGCTGGGATTACATATATTTTCTTTTTCTTTATTTCCTTTTTTTTTTGAGACAGAGTCTCACTCTGTCACCCAGGCTGGTATGCGGTGGCACAATCATGGCTTACTACAGCCTCAACCTCCTGGGCTCAAGTGATCCTTCTATTTCAGCCTCCTGAGTAACTGGGACTACAGGCATGTGCCACCATGCCTGGCTACTTTTTATATTTTTAGTAGAGATGGGGTTTCATCATGTTGGCCAGGCTGGTCTTGAACTCCTGACCTCAAGTGATCCGCCTGCCTCAGCCTCCCAAAGTGCTGGGATTACAGCTGTGAGCCACCTCACCTGGCCTATTTTCATATTTTTAAGAGCCATCGATACATTTTTTTTCTGTGAACTACTGGTTCATATTATTTGTTCTTTTTCCCAGCAGATAAACTGGTTTTTACTACAGATTTTATACATAGTAGGCTATTACCTTTGCCAGCCTGGTTCTGTTTCTTTTTCTTTTTCAGAGCTTCTTTGCCCCAACTTGCATCTGGTAGTCTCCCACTCCCACTATTCGTCTTAATGCCTCATTTTTAGGGGGGCATGGAGTATCTAAAATCTCTTTTAATAAACAATTGTCTACAACAGATAACTCACCTTGCTGTCCATCTTGCATAGTTACAATAAATGGCTGGCCAATGCCTCCAGTAGGGATACCCAAAGGGACTCCATCAGTCACTATGGTGATGACCCTCTGGCCTCCATTCCCCATTACTTGCTGGATTGATGAGTCAACAGAATTTCCCTCTATAATTTCCTCTGAATTAGCTAGAGATGACAAAAGTAAATTTAAAATTTGAGATTTTTTTTAAAAAAATAGGAGTATAGCAATTTCAACCTCCTTGAACCTGACAACATTCAGGAAGAGGAAAATTTGAAAAAAAAAAAAAAAAAAGTGAGATTCAACAGTTTGCATAAGCTTTTGTGAACAATGCTAAGTCAGAGGAGAAAAGAAAATAGAGAATACATTAAAACAGTATTTTATAGAATGTGTTCATTGAGGTGTTAATAACTTTTATTAAGGATTGGTTCTATGTATAAATATGTTTTCAAAATTCTGGTTTAAATATGTTTAAACTTGTTTGTTTTGTAGGAAGTATCATATACTTCAACAGGCTAATAAGCATTATGATTTCCCAACAGGGTATAAGATAACATTGTTGCGGCTTGCCATGGTGGCTCATACCTGTAATCCCAGCACTTTGGAAGGCCAAGATGGGTGAATCACTTGAGGCCAGGAGTTCAAGACCAGCCTGGCCAACATGGCAAAATCCTGTCTCTGCTAAAAGGACAAAAACTAGTCAGGCATGGTAGCATGCGCCTGTGCTCACAGCTACTTTGGAGGCTGAGGCATGAGAATAGCTTGAGCTTGGGAGGTGGAGGTTGCAGTGAGCCAAGATGGAGCCACTACACTCCAGCCTGGGCGACAGAGCGAGACATGGCTCAAAAAACAAACAAAAAACCCAGATATGCTATTTCCCCAACATATTTGATATTGGAACCCTTTTTCTTCAAGAAGTATCCTGCAAGTCTAAAATGGCTGGACATGGTGGCTCACAGTTGTAATTCCAGCACTTTGGGACGCTGAGATGGGCAGGTCACCTGAGGTCAGGAGTTCAAGACTAGCCTGGCCAACATGGTGAAACCCTGTCTCTACTAAAAATACAAAAATTAGCCAGACATGGTGGCAAGCACCTGTAATCCCGGCTGCTTGGGAGGCTGAGGCAGGAGAATTGCTTGAATCCCTGAGGCAGAGGTTGCAGTGAGCTGAGATTGTGCCACTGCACTCTAGCCTAGGTGACAGAGCAAGGCTCCATCTCAAGAAAAAAAAAAAAAGAAAAGAAAAAGAAAAGAAAACAGGGATATTTCAAAAGAAAAAAAAATGGGCCAGGCATAGTGGCTCATGCCTATATCCCAGCACTTTGAGAAGTGGAGGCGGGTGGTTTACCTGAGGTCAGGAGTTTTCAGATCAGTTTGGCCAACATGGTGAAACCCCGTCTCTAATAAAAATACAAAAATTAGCCAGGCGTGGTGGCAGTTGCCTGTAATCCCAGCTACTCAGGAGGCTGAGGTAGGAGAATCGCTTGAGCCTGGGATGCAGAGGTTACAGTGAGCTGAGATCATGCCACTGTACTCCAGCCTGGGCAAGCTGAGGCGGGCAGATCACAAGGTCAGGAGATTGAGACCATCCTGGCTAAGATGGTTAAACCCTATCTCTACTAAAAATACAAAAAATTAGCTGGGCACAGTGGCTAATGCCTGTAACCCCAGCACTCTGGTAGGCCGAGGCAGGCAGATCACCTGAGGTCAGGAGTTCTGGCCAAAATGGTGAAACCCCATCTCTACTACAAAATACAAAACTATTAGCCAGGTATGGTGGCAGGTGCCTGTAGTCCCAGATACTCGGGAGGCTGAGGCGGAGAATCCCTTGAACCCAGGAGGCACAGGTTGCAGTGAGCAGAAATTGCGCCACTGCACTCCAGCCTGGGTGACAGAGACTATGTATCTGCCCCCCCCAAAAAAGAGAGTCAGTTATCAGGCCAAGCAGGGTGGCTCACAACTGTAGTCCCTGCACTTTGAGAGATCGAGGTAGGAGAACTGCTTGAGCCCAGTACTTTGAGCCCAGCGTGGGCAACACAGGAAGACCTCATCTTTTTTTTTTTTTTCTTTGAGATGGAGTCTGGCTCTGTCACCCAGGCTGGAGTGAAGCAGTGTGATCTTGGTTCATTGCAATCTCTGCCTCCCATATTCAAGCGATTCTCCTGCCTCAGCCTCCCCAGTAGCTGGGATTACAGGCATGTGCTGTAATTTTTTGTTTGTTTAGGGGTCCTGGCTAATTTTTTGTATGTTTAGTAGAGACAAGGTTTCACCATGTTAGCCAGGATGGCCTCAATCTCCTGACTTCATGATCTGCCCGCCTCAGCCTCCCAAAGTGCTGGGATTACAGGAGTGAGCCACCACGCCTGGCCTTTTTTTTTTTAAAATTAAAAGAAAAAAGTCAAGTATCTGCAAAATACTTAAGGAAACTCCTATTTAACATTCCTTAAAGAAAATCCTTCCACAGAGCAGAGAATCCTTTTTTGATGTGATTAGGTAATTTAACTGGTTTATACATTTAATTTTCAGATATTCCTTAAAAAGATGAACTACTTGGGCCGGGTGTGGTGGCTCACGCCTGTAATCCTAGCACTTTGGAAGGCCGATGTGGGTGGATCACCTGAGGTCAGGAGTTCAAGATCAGCCTGGCCATCACGGTGAAACCCCATCTTTAAAAAAAAAAAGATGAATTACTTGCATAGTAAGTAATTCATCCTCAAGCTGCAAACCATTTTTTTTTTTTTTTTTTTGAGATAGTCTCACTCTGTTGCCCAGGCAGAGTGCAGCAGTGTGATCTCAGCTCACTGCAACCTCTGCCTCTCAGGTTCAAGTGATTCTCCTGTCTCAGCCTCCCAAGTAGCTGGGATTACAGGCACCTGCCACCATGGCTGGCTAATATTTTTGTATTTTTAGTGCAGACAGAGTTTTGCCACGTTGGCCAGGCTGGTCTCAAACTCCTGACCTCAAGTGATCCACCTGCCTTGGCCCCTCAAAGTGTTGGGATTACAGGTGTGAGCCACCGAGCCCTGCTTACAAACTATTTTAATTAAAGCTTTCGGATGATGACTATGGAAGTGAGGATGGGGATGGAGGTAGTGACGATATCCCAATGTTATTCTTTTTTCTTTCCTCCACACACACACTCAGTAAACCAATTTTATTCTAATGCTCTCATAAAATACCCAGAGAACCAAATGGTCTGAATGGTATATCATGCTTGACCTCCAGAAGTACCCTATGTCTATCAAATGACACTATGCAGAGTAAGACTCAGCTACAGCCTATTCCCAGATTTTCCTTCGTAGTTCATGCCTTTTTCCTCACCCAACCTTTCATACCAAATGCTGCTAAGAACTCACAAATCCTCCTAAAATGAAACAAAGAACAAGCAATTTTTAATTTTTAAAATATACGTCCTTCTTGAAGGTTGGAATATATATAAATGACTATAAGTCACCAGTAAGTTTTTTAGGCTGGGTGTGGTGGCTCACGTCTATAATCCCAACATTTTGGGAGGCCGAGGTGGGTGGATCACCTGAGACCAAAAGTTCGAGACCAGCCTGACCAATATGGTGAAACCCCATCTCTATTAAAATTATAAAATTTAGCTGGGCATGGTGGTATGCACCTGTACTCCCAGCTACTCGGGAGGCTGAGGCAAGGAATCACTTGAACATGGGAGGTGGAGGTTGCAGTGAGCCAAGACTGCATCACTGCACTCCAGCCTGGTGATGAAATGAAACTGTCTCAAAAAAACAAAAACAAAAACAAACAAAAAAATAGGCCAGGAGTGGTGGCTCATGCCTGTAATCCCAGCACTTTGGGAGGCTGAGGCAGGCAGATCCCTTGAGGTCAGGAGTTTGAGACCAGCCTGGCCAACATAGCAAAAACCCATCTCTACTAAAAATACAAAAATTAGCTGGGCATGGTGGTGGGTTCCTGTAATCCCAGCTACTTGGGAGGCTGAGGCAGGAGAATTGCTTGAAACTAGGAGGCAGAGGTTGCAGTGAGCCCAGATTGTGTCATTACACTCCATCCAGCCTGGGTGACAGAGCAAGACTGTCTCCAAAACCAAAAAACCAATAATAATAATAATAATTTTAGAAAAGGCTATGTTTTCCCATAGTTCCCTGTTCCAGGAAAAAAAAAAAAAAAAGGCTGTGTTTCTTTTGTTTGATTGTTTTTGGTTTCTTTAGAGTGGAGTTTCGCTCTTTTTGCCCAGGCTGGAGGGCAATGACTTGATCTCAACTCGACTGCAACCTTCGCCTCCCAGGTTCAAGTGATTCTCCTGCCTCAGACTCTGAGTAGCTGGGATTATAGGTACCCACCACCACGTCTGGCTAATTTTTGAATTTTCAGTAGAGAGAGGGTTTCGCCATGTTGGCCAGGCTGCTCTCAACTCCTGACCTCAGGTGATCCACCCACCTCGACCTCCCAAAGTGCTGAGATTACAGGTGTGAGCCACCACTTGTGGCCTAGAAGAGGCTGTTTTTATTTTATTACAGTTAAAACACACACACTCTCTCTCTCTCTCCAAGACTTTTTTTTTTTTTTTGAGATAGAGTCTTGCTCATCCAGGCTAGAGTGCAGTGGCGTGATCTCAGGTCACTGCAACCTCTGTCTCCTGGGTTCAAGCAATTCCCCTGCCTCAGACTCCTGAGTAGCTGGGATTACAGGGGCCCACCACTTTGCCCGGCTAATTTTTGTATTTTTAGTAGAGGTGAGGTTGCAACATCTCAGCCAGGCTGCTCTTGAACTCCTGACCTCGTGATCCACGCACCTCGGCCTCCCAAAGTGCTGGGATTACAGGCGTGAGCCACTGTGCCTGGCCACAAGGCTCTTATAATTACAAGTTCAAGTAGGCCATGCAACAGGTGGGCCGCCCAGCTAAACTAATGGTAAATATCTAGGTAAAACTGCTTCTTGAGAAAAGCATTATACCTTTTTTTTTTTTTTTTTTTTTGAGACAGAGTCTGGCTCTGTTGCCCAGGCTGGAATGCAGTGGTGCCACCTCCCCTAACTGCAACCTGCGCCTTCTGGGTGTTCATCAAGTGATTCTCCTGCCTCAGCCTCCCAAGTAGCTTGGATTACAGGCACCCTCTACCATGCTCGGCTAATTTTTTTATTTTTCGTAGAGATGGGGTTTCACCATGTTGGCCACACTGCTCTCA